GGCCAACGCTCTATCCACTGAGCCAAACCGGGCAGGTTTAGTATTTTAAGCGATATAAAATATATAGTTTTTTCCAGTTTTAAAGAGTCTTGAGGTTTGAAGAATTTATAAAGGGCTCTGGCCAGGTAGCTCAGTTGGCTAGAGCATCGTCCTGATACACCAACATTGTGGGGTCGGTCCCCGGTCAGGGCACATACAAGCAACAACCAGTGAGTGCAGAAATAAGTGGAACAACAAATTGATGTTTCTCTTTCTATCTCCCTGCCCCCTTCTCTCTCTAAAAGGAAAAGAACTTGTAAAGGGATTGTGCGGCCAAAACTTTTGAGAGCAGCTGCTTCCCTCCGACCGCTTCTTCCAGGCAGCCTTCCCTAACTCCTCAGTCTGGTCAGGTGCCCTCCCCTGTGCCCACAGCAGCCTATGCATCTCCCACAAGAGCAGCCACCACATTCAGTGTAAGCACCTGTTGAACGGGTCTGTCCCCACCCAGGCCTTCGTGGGCAGAGATGTGTCCACAGCACCTAACGTAGACAGTTATTAAATATCTGTTGATGAGTCCTAGCTGGTTAGACTCAGTGTACAGAGCATCGGCCTGCAGACTGAAGGGTCCCAGATTCGATTCTGGTCAAGGGCACATATCTCGGTTGCAGGCTCCTCCCCGGCCCAGGCCCTGGTTGGGGAGCGTGCAGGAGGCAACCAATTGATGTGTTTCTCTGACATTGATGTTTCTCTCTGTCTTTCCCTCTCTCTTCCACTCTATCTAAAAATAAATAAAAACAATCAAAAGCCTGGCTGGCGTGGCTCAGTGGTTGAGTGTCAACCTGTGAACCAGGAGGTCATGGTTTGATTCCCGTTCAGGGCACATGCCCGGGTTGCGGGCTCAATTCCTAGTGTAGGATGTGCAGGAGGCAGCTGATGGATGATTCTCTCTCATCACTGATGTTTCTATCTCTCCCTCTCCCTCTCCCTTCCTCTCTGAAATCAATGAAAATATATTTAAAAAAATAAAAAAGTGAAAAAAAGTGAATGGAAGAATATCCTCGGTGAGGATTAACAAAACAAAAAGTCTGTTGGCTACATAAGCACCGAGGGTGCGGCCCCAGCCCCTTCCGGCCGGGTCTTGGTCACTGCTGCTGGCGGGAGCAGAGTGGCTGGAAGAGGGGAAGACAGCCCTGACCGGTTTGGCTCAGTGGATAGAGCGTCGGCCTGCGGACTGAAGGGTCCCAGGTTTGATTCCAGTCAAGGGCATGTACCTTGGTTGCGGGCACAGCCCCAGTGGGGAGTATACGGGAGGCAGCTGATCGATGTTTCTCTCTCATCAATGTTTCTAGCTCTCTATCCCTCTCCCTTCCTCTCTGTAAAAAATCAATAAAATATATTTGGAAAAAAAAAAAAAAGAGGGGAAGACAGTTATCGCCACAGCGACAGGGTCTGGCCTCTGACTCAGAAAAACGGCGGTGGAGCCAGTGGAGCCGGGGCTGCCCAGAGTCTTAGCTCACCTGGTGCCATTGTAACCCCAGATTCTATGCCAAAGCCCAGGCTACTAGAACTAGTACTTTAACTTCAGAAAGCAAGATGTTTTCCTGTGCTGGGGGAGGAGGCGTGTATGTACAAGTAGGACAGAAAGTAAGAAAATGTTAAATAATTAAAAAAAGAAATAGCCCTTAGCCAGTTTGGCTCAGTGGATAGAGCGCCGGCCTGCGGACGGAAGGGTCCCGGGTTCGATTCTGGGCGAGGGCACATGCCCAGGGTTGTGGGCTCCATCCCCGGGGCGGGGGAGGGGGGGTGGAGTGTAGAAGGCAGCTGATCAATGATTCTCTCTCATCATGGATATTTTTCTCTCTCTCCCCCTTCCTCTCAGAAATCAATAAAAATATATTTTTTTTTAAAAAAAAGAAACAGAAAATGAAATCCTATGTGAATTCAGCATAACTTCTAGTTTAGTAGACGCGGTAGGCCGAACAGTATTGTCAACATGAAGGACAACCTGACTGACACGCCGCTCTCTTCTTCACAATAACAGCTTGTTCGCCAACAGACCTTCCTCCTGGACGATGGATGGGGAAGGCGGGGCCGCTCAGCAGGGTGTCCTGGTGGTTTGGTTCAACATCGAAGCCGCGGAGACAGGCATTTTAACCACTATCACCTGTGCTCTCTCCTCTGTGTGTGTGCTTCTGAGTGGTTCTCAACCTTGGCTGCACATTAGAATCACCTGGGAATCTTTTTAAAATCCTGATTTCTGGGCCTCATCCTCCGGAAATTCTGTTTCTTTGTTACTCATGTTGTGGCCCCACCCCATAACAAAGAAACAGAATTTCTTCTGGTCTACATTTTCTCCCTGTTTATAAAGTGCCGGGACTGACCAGCAGACCCCGAGTGATGGATAAATGATTATTTTGACATATGTTTTTGTGAAAGAGAGGGCTAAGGGACTGCCTGGCTAAAGGAACCAGACAGTCCCGTTTGTCTGTCTTTTTAGGCTTTTATTGTAGTAATAGCTTGAATTAAAATTAATTTTTAGATATTATTAGCAGGGTAAGTATTTTTGAGAAAATATATGTATTGGTAGTGTTTTTTAAACAAGGTCGTGTCTAAAGACTAAATATAGAGATTCTAGTAAAACACCTGGGGGCTCAGACTTGTTTGGAAAAGTCAAGGCAGGGGCTGCCGCCCTCGGCCAGGTCCCCCTCGAGGCCTTCGACCTTTTGGAGAACTTTTTTCATCAACTTTCCAACCAAGTCTCGCATTTTCCCCATAATAAAGCAGGCCTTCCAGTTTGGACTAAGACAGTGGTGGCATGGAGCTGTCTCAGGTCACGCTCGTTTGAGCAAAATGTGTAACATGTTAATACTCTCAGAACCATGTGTAGCATGAATCATACTGCGTTTCGTCAGAGAGCTGGTCCTTCCCTGAAAGCCTGGGGAGCAAGGTGACCTGAAGCGGGGTGATGGGACTCAAGTTCATGAAGAAAAGCACACGCGGGACGGTAATGCCAGTGCCGGGCCCCGAGTGATGAGACGCCCGGGAAACTCTGCAAACAGTTCGACTCCTGAGGGTCAGGCAAACCCAGCACCGACAGACGTCTCGTCTTCCATCCCAACCTCCTGAAGTAACCTGTGAAGTGCCTTTCCTCTTTGAAATCTTCATATTTAAAAAAATCTCCCATTAGGCCGTCACCCCTCCTTTCCATTAGAGCTTGGCTAACTAGGGATCAGAGGAAATATTGGAGGAAATGTTTCATTTGGTGGACTTCACGTTAGACAGTGAAAACCAGACAAGTTTTGGGAAGCCAAAGGGATCATTTTAAAACAGCGGTTCTCAACCTGTGGGTCGCGACCCCTTTGGCGGTCGAACGACCCTTTCACAGGGCTCGCCTAAGACCATCCTGCATATCAGATATTTACATGATGATTCATCACAGTAGCAACATTACAGTTATGAAGTAGCAACGAAAATAATTTTATGGTTGGGTCACAACATGAGGAACTGTGTTTAAAGGGCCAGAAGGTTGAGAACCACTGTTTTAAAAGCACCCTCCAGCCCTAGCTGGCTTGGCTCAGTGGACAGAGCGTCGGCCCACAGACTGAAGGGTCCCAGGTTCGATTTTGGTCAAGGGCACGAACCTCAGTTGCAGGCACAATCCCCGGCCCAGGTCGGGGTGTGTGAGGCAGGCAACCAATCGAGGTGTCTCTCTCACATCAATGTTTCTCTCTGTCTCATCCCCTCCCTTCTGCTCGCTCTAAAAATCAACGGAAAAATACCCTCAGGTGAGGATTAACAATAAAATCGCCCTCCTCCAGCGGCCTGTCTGACCCAGGGCTGCAGGCCTCCCTGGGAGAGCTAGCTCACAAATTCCTCGTGCCAAAGCCTGGGGGTGGAACGTGTCTCTGAATTCAGAATTTCTCAGACTTCGGAAAAAGCAGAATGATGCACAGACTGTAATATCGTTTTAGTGCCTCCCTAACAAACCCATTACTATTTCTGCGCGAATAGATAAAAAAAAATTCCACACAAAAGGTGATTTTAAAAACATTGCAAATAGCCTCACATCATTTCAGGTCACGTCTTGGGGCCAAATGAGTCAAGGTTTTGGAAGCAAAAATTCAGAAGAGTGGATCTATAGCAGGGGTCCTCAAACGTTTTAAACAGGGGGCCAGTTCACTGTCCCTCAGACCGTTGGAGGGCCGGACTATAGTTTAAAAAAAAAAACTATGAACAAATTCCTATGCACACTGCACATATCTTATTTTGAAGTAAAAAAATAAAACGGGAACCAATACAATATCTGTATTTGCATGTGGCCCGCGGGCCGTAGTTTGAGGACCCCTGATCTATAGGATAGTGTTTTTCAAACTGTGGTCCCCGGCCCGGCAATCTTTGTATCACCTGGGCACGTAGAAATGCAAAGTCTTAGGCTCCGCCCAGAGCCCCTGCAGTGGAAGTTCTAGGAGCCAGGTGATTCTGATGCAGGTTAGAGTTTAAGAACCACCACCTTGCCCTGGCCGGTATGGCTCAGTGGATAGAGCGTCAGCCTGCGGACTGAAGGGTCCCAGGTTCGATTCTGGTCAAGGGCACATGCCTGGGTTGTGGGCTCCATCCCCAGTGGGGGGCGTGCAGGAGGCAGCTGATCCATGATTCTCTCTCATCATTGATGTTTCTCCCTCTCCCTTCCTCTCTGAAATCAATTAAAAAAATATCTCTCTATATAAAAGCCTAAGCGACCGAACAACCGGTTGACCGGCTGCTATGACGTGCACTATCCACCAGGGGACAGACGCTCAACACACAGGATTGGGCTCCCTCCTGTCTAGACTGGGCCTGCGGGGACTGGGCCGAAACCAGCTCTCTGACATCCGCTGAAGGGTCCCTGATTGTGAGAGGGCGCAGGCCAGGCCGAGGGACCCCACCGGTGCACGAATCCGGGCCTCTAGTATATATATATATAAAGAACTGCCACGTTAGGACAAACAGTTGCCAACAGGCACCTCACCTGTCCCTGCTCCTGCGGGAAGGGAAGGTGGCCTGGCAGCCCTCCACCGTGCACACGTGCGTCTCCTTGGAGTGCGTGTTCTTGTGGTGCATCTTCACGCCGCAAGCGTTCTTGAAGGTCTTCTGACAGATGTCACACTGGTGGCGACTCTCTTCCTTCTGCCTCGCCAACGCGTGCGGACCCGCGGGCTCCAGGTCCTTGGAATCTTCGAAACAAGGGAAAGCCATTCCTCGGGTGGACAAGGCGCCCAGGAGGCCCCCGGCCAGCAGGTGCTGCTGCAGCCTGACGTAGTCCGGGAAAGGGATGCAGGGCTCCAGCCCAGGAGGGAGGCGGAGCTCCCGGCCGCCTTCCTCCGCCTCCCCGGGCACCAGGGTCAGCGCTGGCTTCTGCTCCAGCTCCGTCTCCCTCTCCGAGTTGCGCGTGGCCTGCTCGGGGGTCCTGCTGATGACCCCCCTGGGCTCGATCACCGACGAGAGGTGGCAGGCCGGCTGCCCTTCGGGAGGAGGCCTCCCTGGGCATCCTCCCTGCTGCTCCTCCAGCGCCCCGTCCGACCCGGGGCTGCAGGCCTCCAGCTCGTCTTCGCTGACCACCTGCAGGGGCCGATCTTCATCGGAGCTGAGCGCCCGCCTCTTCTCATCAGCCGTTCCCACGGCCTCCTTCTCGATCTTGATGGGCATGCTGGACTTGCGGGATTTCTTCTTGGGGAGGGCATCGGACGGCACGTCGGCGGAAACCAGCTGTTCCGAGATGGAGGACGACAGCAGGGGGAGAGACGGCAGCATCCCGGGCGTGGTGGCCAGCACCGCGGG